CACTTTAGAATTCAGTGGAATGTTTGCCTTCCTAGTGCTGGGTGAGATGACTTTTGCTTGTCTCATGTTAATTGCATTCATCTTGAGCTTACAGTCAGCAAACACCCTCTACCTGAGTTATTTTCTCATATAAACTGATTTTTAAGTGAAGCCTCAGGAATCCTATATGGTATAGTTAATTGCAGTCCTCTTGGTAGCATTTAACAAACTAATTTACACACTTTTTATTTTATTAGTAGTCTTTTTTAAAACTAGACTATTGTTTATCTTTGTGAATACTTAAGTAAAGTATTTTCTGTTTGTTTATTTCTTTTTAATTTTTGTAGTACTGGAGAAAATGAAACTGGGAGTGACGCATCAAGATGCTTGGCTCAATAAGAAAACCACGTTAGGCGCAACCTATGTATATTGGAGACTTCAGAGTAACCAGCAAGGAAGAGAAAACTTAATCGTCAGGTTATCATATTTTCCAGATATTACATGGTACCTGAATTCTACTTCCTTGGATGTCATTGCTTAGATACAGTCTTGAAGGGTTTGTTGTGAAATATTGTATATATTTTTTCAAATGTATACCTTGTTAATAAATTAAGAAATGAGAAATATTCTTATTTATTTACATGTTATGAGAGTTCTGGAGGAAGTAATATGTTGAAATAGCAAAACAGTTTAGTTTTTGAGTTTAAAATGTTATGTTTTCCTCTTATATCTTCATATCAGGACAGCAGTAACTTGAATTTAGATTGTCACAGTTTACAAGTTTTTGTTTGTTCCTTCCTTCCTCTCTCTTCTCCCACTCACTGTTGTTTGTTGTTTTTTCCTAATTTACATGTTTAAAGTTCTACTTAAAAGTTTTCTTCAAGTTTTACATGTTATGGCTCATTCTTTTGCAGTTCAAGAATTGCTTATATTTTTAAAAGATATTCATTTTCTCTTATACATAATTGATTTTTTGTAAACTACAGTTCATAGTTCTTTTAGCTTGTAAGTATGAATATAGTAGAATATGAAAATGTGGCTATTTAGATAACTAGCCAAAAGGTCGTCTGACCACCAGTTTTAGTATTGAGCGTAAGGTATTTTTATAGATTCATGTAAGGCAATGTAAATTGTCTTTCTACAATAAAATTTTTTGATGCAAATTTAGATTTCAGAAACTTTTTGATGGTATAAAGGAACTGAGGAACAAAAGGCTTTTTGAAATAGCTCACCTAGACCTGTTAATGTAATATATTCTTTCTGAGTTAACCAAATTAATTTTTTGTTTTTTAAGACTAGATCTAATCCCTCTAGCTTTTTTGCTGGAACTTTGGGGAAAAAGAACAAATACAAATATACAAATGATATGAACAATATAGTAATAATCTTTTGCAACTTAATATGTTACATAGTCATATGACTTGGTCTTGGAAGACAAAGAATTGTTTTGGTGCTGAATAAATATTAAAAATCAAGTGACAGAGAAAATGAAGGTAAAATTGTGGCACAGTTTCAGAGAGCGCCATTAATGATAATGTGTATTTGTCTCAAATTCTTAGCCCTGAGCTTGCCTCTTTAGAGTGGTGTTACCAGCAAGAGGGCAAGCATGTAATTAAGAGACACTCTAGAGGCATATGGAATGTGATTTGTATAAAACATACCTGCTGATTAGAAAAACGGTAAGAATGAAAATACCTTTATACATCATCTTAAGAGAGCGTATATCTAAACTAAATGGGCAGGCTTCATCCTCTACCTTTCTTTTTCTTTTCTTCGCGTGTTTATGTCTTTTTTGTTGTTCAGACATTTTTATCCCTCTGCGTGCTCATTCTTGTAGTTCCATTTCTATTGGCACTTCCTCCAAAATTTTTCTCTGAATTACCTTTGTTGAAAGTGACCTTTCTTCCTTGTGAACTCCTACACTTGCATCTCCTATTTCAGGGTTTGGCATACTTTTTCTTTAATAGGCTAAGAAAGTAAGTATCTTCAGCTTTGGGGGACATATGGTCTCAATAGCATCAACTTAACTCTGCTAACTGGAAGGCAAAAGTGTATCATCTTACTCATCCATAAACTCCACAGCACTCTGCATAGATAGGAGCATGTTTATAAGGAACTCAACAAATAATTCTGACACAGACATGAAATTCTCTAAGGGCAGACACTGATAACTAGTAAGAAAGGTTGATCATGAGTAACTTTGTATTCAGTGCCACCTTAGCAAGAATTGTAAAGAGGATAAACCTTTCTAGGAAGGGTGACGCGTGCTGGGTGAGGAAGGAGCATCTCTCAGGAGGGTAAACAGTAGCTGTGGGTTTGCTGAGAGATTTTGGCTGTGAGTGACGAGCCTATATCAAAAAGAAAAGTGACTTATCAATCTCAGTTTTTATTGCTCAAAGCAATTCTTCACTCCTAATTTTTCCAAATTCCATTGTTTTTACTCTTTAGAGCTCTATCCTGAGTGTAGTCTGCATGTTTCTTTATTGTCATTGCCATGTGACTTCTTTGGTGACAAGTTCAGTAGTATTTCAAGCATGATGTTTGTTTTGAGTTTGAGAAATGTGTTTGTGAGGACACATCACTTTAATTAAAAAGTGTGAATACTATGGTCATTAAGTTATTCAGAGTGAGATTTCTGAGTGGGGGAGAGAGAATGTAGATGGCAGTTATTGAGAGTGGGGCTATAGGAAAAAAAGAAGAAAAATATGGTTAACATTCCCAAATAAAGGGTGATACAGCCTTGCTTTTTGCTGGGGTTAGCAAAAATCATTCTCCATATGCTAGTTTTAGATGTTCCCCAGTTCATTTGTATTATTGAGTTTTCAACTGGGTATATATTGTTATAATAGCAGTCAACATGATGTAGGGGCTCGGTATTACATGTCAGGACTATATTAATTGCTTCATGTGCCTTATCTCATTATTCTATGAGATAGAATTGTCTCCTCATTTTTTAGTTGCAGTAACTGAAGTTTAAAGCAATTGAATCATCTGCCCAAGAATAAGCTGCTGGTGAGAGCACAATTGGGATTTAAGTCGAGTTAGGCCCCAGTGATCACAGTCTTGACTGTTAAATTCTTCCAGCCTTCATTTTTCACTGAGATAATGGTAATGATAGTACTGACCTCTAATGTGTGCGTTTGTGGGTGTGTGGTCCATTCAGCTTTAATCCCCAGAAGACAAGACTTATTCCTTTTCTTATTTTTGGTCATGTTTTATTTTTCCATTGCTTTTAACAGGATTACCAAAGGCACACTCAGTAGTCAGTAAACACATTTCTAAGAAAG